AACGAGGTGGTATATTTAACTTAGTTTATAAAGACAAGTGGACCTGCCGCAGCTACGCTGTGGGGAAGGACGATGACAAAACATTTTGCAAAACACCGCAGTCATCAGTTGGATCCCATCTTTGCAATGTACCCCTACCGGACACTGTCCAGCGATGCAAAATGCCCCAGCAGTTGCTAAGTTTTCACACACACACACAAAAAAAAGAATATATTCCCATGTTGTAGCAGTAGATTCATTCGATTTTGCTGATCCTATCGATGGAAGTACCCTCTCTCTCTCTCTCTCTCTCTCTCTCTCTCTCTCTCTCTCTCTCTCTCTCACACACACACACACACACACACACACACACACTGTATATTTCCATGTTGTTGCGATAGATTCGTTAGATGCTGATCCTATCCATGGAAGTACTCTCTCTTCCTCTCTCTTCCTCCCTCTCTCTCTCTCTCATTAGATTTTGTTGATCCTATCCATGGAAGTACTCTTTCCTCTCTCTCTCTCTCTCTCTCTCTCTCTCTCTCTCTCTCTCTCTCTCTCTCTCTCACACACACACACACACACACTTGTAGCAGTGTATATTTCGATGTTCTAGCAGAAGATTCATTCGATTTTGGTCATCCTATATATCTAAGTAGCGTCAGGCCAGCTGCAGGGTTGGAGACTTACCTGTTGACCAGTGCGTTGCTCGACCAATCAATGGAAATCTCCCTCTCTCTCTCTCTCTCTCTCTCCCCCTCCCAAAAAAAAGAAAAACGAAAAGAAAAAAAACAACAACAAACAGTGCATATGTCCATGTTGTAGCGGTAGATTCATTCTATTTTGCTCATCCTACCAATGGGACTACCCTCTCTCTCTCTCTCTCTCTCTCTCTCTCTCTCTCTCTCTCTCTCTCTCTCTCTCTCTCTCTCTCTCTCTCTCTCTCTCTCCCTTCCCCCTCAGCTTTCACATCACCTACATTGTCTCGTCCATTCCCCGTCGGCGCCTGTGCCAATTCCCCACCCCTGGTTTTTCGCTAGTCGTTGCAGGTGTCGGCACAGCCTTTTTTTGGCTAGTCAACGTGGGTGTCGGTATTTCGCGCCAGTATTTCTCCAGCCCTTGTACTCGTCGCAGCTGTCGCCAGAGCCTTTTTTCGCTAGTCGTTGCGACTGTCACCAGTTCCCGCCGGCATTTCTCTGGCCCTCGCGGCAAGTGCCACTGCCCATAACTGGTCCCGCACAGAGGCCCCCGGTTTCTGTTGGGCCCCACGCAAGGACCGCTGTTTGTGCCTATATATATCGTCACAAACAGAACTGCCCGGTAAACCATAGGCAGAGAGAGAGAAGAGGACAATATATATATATATATAGGGAAGACTGAGAATAAGAGAACAGACAGCAGATGTCGTGTAAATACAAGGGGCGGTGTCCAAGAAACGGAAATGAAAGAAGACATGTTATGTACCTAAGTCTTGGCATCCATGCAGGCACCTTGGGAGCTTGTATGCCTCCATGCATGCACAAGAAAGGGAGTCATGGTCTTATTTACAGGCCAAATGACAGCACTCACTTGGTTGCAAATGGGCAGTGCACATCATAGAAGATTAATTAAACTACTGAAGCTCCGTCAAACAAGATGTCAATCCTATTGAGACAGCCTCGGGTTGCTCTAGTGTTGGACCAGCCCATCACACCCTAGCCGATCATTGACAACCAATGTGTGTGCACCTGCATGCATGCATAGGTGCATGCACAAGACAGGCAGCGTAATTTATAGGCCAAACAATCAGCGCTCAGTTTTCTGCAAATGGGAAGAACACATCATACCCACTTTGCTTAAACTCCTGGAAGCACAGTCAGACAAGATGTCAATCATATTGAGACAGCCTAGGGTTGCTTTAGTGTTGGATAAGCCCAGCATACCCTACCTGATCATTCACATCAATCCGGTCTTCGCTCACTTCCCCCAACCATGAAGACACAGAGTTGCAGTGCCTCTTGACACGATCACTGAAGCAATCAAGCAATCAGGGGATACCTATGAATGAATCTTGCTATGCCCTATATGCCCCACTGAGGGTGTGGATTAGCATCGCAAAACGACCTAAGCAGTGAAGGATACAAGCATGGATACAGGTGTTTTCATCTCCTGGACTGCTCCGCGTTTGCAGGTAGCAGTTGTAGGTCATGTTCTACCACAGTCAAGCAAAGCACCTGGACGTGGAGCGGCAGATGATAAATTTCAACCCAGGCAACTTCCTTGTTCACCATCCAACAAACAAGATCTTCAATTCCAACCCTATATCCGAGGATACACTCTGAGAGCATGAAAGGGACAGCACTTATTCTAAGATTTTATGGTAGAAGATTGACCTCGCAATGTGAATGTGAAGTTATATCTAGTGGACCGTCCCTGCTGTAAGGACAATCCACAATCCTGCTCTCCAGGCAGTGCGTAGTGCCGTTGTCAGAAAAATATGCGGCCAGCTTAAACAGGATGGTATACCGGTACGTACCAAGGACACTCTCCGAAACGCACCACAAACGGTCGTGGGAGATAGTTGGGCAGATTGGAAAGAGTGTGCACCAGCAACTACCTTTAGTTCCATTCGTTTCCTGTCCTCAGCAGCGACTGAAGATGGTCCAAATCGTTTCCTCCTCATCGCCGGCATGTTCTTTAATCCTTTGCTCTCCTCACAGACTGCCAACGTCTTCTTCGATCCTTTCCTTTCCCTCTCGGCTGCCAACGTGTTCTTTAATCGTTTCCTCTCCACGATTGGAAGAGAAAAAAGGAGGACGAGCAAAGAAAACGCCAGGAGGAAGATGATGAGAACAGATACAGAACCCTAAACCCTAAACCCAACACCAACATCACCAGCAGCAGAAGAAGAAAAAGGAGAAGAAACCTACACCGATTTCAGCAAAATGGCGGTAAAGAAAACGGCGCCAGGAAAGAAGGCCACAGCGTTCGACGCGGAGATGAAGGAAACGGAAAAGGAACGCTGTCCTTTTGGACAATTCCGTGTAAACCAGAGCGAAGCTCATGCACCACGGCGAACAAAAAGAAGAAGACGAAGGGAGAAATAAGAGGAAATCAAGCCGACTGCTGTCACCCCTTCCAAAAGCTGAACAGAGTGCTCCCGTGAGTCCGTTAAAACTGGAACAATATAGACAAGCCTATGGCATCTGCTACCTGCGCAAGGATGACAAGCACAGGTCGAAAAAAAACAGGTGCACGTGAAGTAGCTAACGAGTTACGACCATATACTGGGTGCCAATGCGATCACGGAAAGAGGGGAAGCAATAATATGAGAACAGTAAAAGAGGGAAGGGGAAGGAAAGAGCAGCAAAGTGCGGAGCGAGAGGAGGGAGGGAACAAAGAAGCAAAAAGAAACCTCCAGAGGCAGGAGAAAGAGAGAGGGAGGGAGGGAGACTACAGACCGGGGAAGCACAATGAAACCTGCGGTGACAGGAGAATCAATAGAGCAATGAGATGCCAGGAGGAACCGGATCGCAGCCACGTGCTGCGACGGTCAGATCAATCCAAGGAAGGAACACTCGACTGCGATCAAGTCAGTGAGTGATAACATACAAACGAAGGTATGGAGAGGGAAGAAGATACGAAATGAAGATTATGTAAAGCAGTCATGGCACAGCAAGAAAAAGAGAAGAAAAAGTAAAAAATGTTTCCGTCCGATCTCCATTCTCCGCTTGCAGAGGATGAGACCACCGACGAGATAAATGAGATAGGGTAACGAAATGAAGAGCAGAATCAGATGGAGAACGGCAATTTGCGCAGCAGCTACGAGTGTCCACCCGAAGAGCACTTAGCAAGAGTACGGCGATGACACACCAAGACCAATGCCTTTCGGAGCCACCTCGCCGAGCGTATTTTTGGCCAGCGGTCGAGCCTGTTCCGTACGCAGATGAAGGTGGGTGACCTGTAGCCCTTGAGGAGATGGCGTGGGCTACCAGAAATGACGCGAAATGAGAGGACATCAAAAGGAAAAGAATTGAGGAAGACGGGGATAAAGGGCGCGAGCGCGAGCGAGCGAGCGAGCGAGCGAAAGAGACAGGCAGATAGTCAATTGGTCGAAGGCGGAACAGGAGCAGTACGAGTAACAGGACGACTGTGCAAAAACATTCGCGTGAAGGACATGCAGCACTCAGATACGCCCTGCGACCACTGAATTGCATTATGCAAAGGTCTACCTTCCTCTCCAAGCAGCCACAGCGTCAGCTCTTCTACAGACATGCAGCGTCTACCTTTCACATAACATAGCGCCAAAATTCTTAAGCCGCTTTCAACCTTATCACCTACAGACAGACAGAGGTATGAAGTAAAATAAGCTCGTGCAACATGTCAATACCACTCGTTCGGGTTCCACTTCAGCATCCCCGCTAAATCGTTATTTTCTAATCTAAAGCCAATCCTTCGCTGTAGATCGGCCCCGACTTGTTAAACGAGTGAATTTGGAAGAACGACAAGGGAAAACCGCAAGGATGGATACAACACGGCGTCACAATTCCCGCCCAAGTGATCCACCAACATCGGGTTCACTCTTCCCGCCTCAGCGATACAAAGACACTCATGTAGCTCGAAAACTATACTCGCAAATCAATTTGCCCGCCGCTACTCTCTCTCCTTTCCTCTCTTTCTTCCCTTCCCCTGGCGTTCTTAGCATGCGTGCCAGTATGTATGGCACTCCAGGAAGTCGCTTCCTAGCACTTCAACCCGCTCTATGACCCACGCCGTCTTTGCGGGTCATCAGGTAGTTCTCCGCGTTGCCCTCTTCGGCCTCAACACACTCCTTTCCTCCCAATAACCCGCAGCTTCCTCTACCGAGCCCGAGGAGCCCGCAAGTACACAGCACCCGTTAACTACAAATCTCGAGTGGCACATCACCTCTCGCCGCAAGTACACAACACCCGTTATCTATAAATCTCGAGTGGCTCATCAGCTCTCGCCATATCAGTGCCTTCTGCTCACCAAATTACGGAGACCGTCGTCAGCCAAATATCACGTGATCAATGTGATCCGCATCATCGCGATTATTATTGTCATCTAACAAATCGACGTCGCCCAAGAGCTGCAGCTTCAAAGAAACATTACACG